TCTCTGAACCATATGGAAACACTGACCTAACATAAGTGTTGCGAATAGGGTTCTTTTTCCTTATACTGATTGTATCAGGTTTCCAGACTGATTTCACAGTAATAAATGTGTATTACTCTTCCGATCTTAGCTGGCTGTGACATCCTAGTTTGTGCTATTGCGTGTGGTTAAAACAGTGCTGCCTAGATAAGTGAAAGATGTGACTTCCTTTGGGTTCCTCCAGTTGATAGTGTTTGTTGGTTGGGTGTCGTCAACACTTCTGTCTTCTTTATCTTCACTTGAAGTCTTCTCTTCGCTGACTTTTCTGCCAATATGTTGGTGTTTGCCTGTAAAATCTTCATTTTTGTGTGACAAAAGACATAAATCAACGGCGAAATCCAGATCTTCGGAAATCTTTTTCTCTGTCGAACATACGCTAGTCTTCTCGCTCTCCACAGCCTGTTGCATGGTCGAGTTCACCATAATCAGGGAATTACACATCTTTAAAATCAATGGATAACTAGGAACATTAATTAGTTGAAAAACCATGAAGAAATCTAGAGCTATTTTATTTTTACTGCATATGGGTGTTGCTCATTAGGATATGGCGACGAGAAGACAAAGTAGTTCAGAGAAGAGACTTTTTCTGAGATTTTATTCACTAAGTCGTATAATCGTGAATACATAAAAGTTTTGATAAACACAAGAGACGCATGTGACATTGATTTCAAGCGTGGCAACAAGCGAAACGGTAGATCTTTTCTAAAAAACAGAAATGTCATTTTTATCATCGATTTGTTGAAATGACTTTGATTAGTGGAGATTAATCAGAATTTAGCAGAAAACGTAAGAGTTTAAATCAAGTTACGTGATATGATGAAGAATCTGGAAAATCAGGAAGAGTATACAAACAAGAATGATTGGATATTACATCAGAATTGAACAGAATGAACGAAGACGGTAGGTTCAGAAGAACCGCACTACTAATAATAACAAGAGAATAGTAAAGACAGAACCTCATATTCAATGTCACACAAACTCGATGACTTGCAGGCAAAAACCAACAAACTGGTTGAAGAAGCAGTGAAGACAGGACTCCAGGTGAATATAGAGAAGACGGAGGTGATGGAAATGACCGACCAAGAGCTACAACAAACCAATCACTATCAATGGGAGAGATTTGAAAGCGGTTTCTTCCTTCACTTACCTGAGAAGCATCGTTTCAACCACAGGCAGTCGGAACAGATGAAGGTGTAAAAGCTGACCAGAATCGGAAATGCAAGATACACCTTCATCAAACTGAAATCAGTTTGGAAATCCTCTGCACTTCTCCGCCTCAGCATAAACCACAAGATTTGGATTTTCAATAGAAATGTGAAGTCAGTCAGTTCTTCTCTATGTGCATCACGAAGAGCATTTCCAACAACCTCTTGCAGAATTTTATCAACAACTACCTTCGCTGGCTCTATATTGAAGATCAAATGGCCGTAAATAATCAGCAACAAGAAGCTATTGGAAAAAACCAACCAAGAACCTATCGTTCAACAAATATGCAGGAGAAAGTGGAGATGGATTGGGCACATAGTCAGCAGACCGTCGAATGACGTCACACGCCAGGCCCTCGAATGGAACCCGGATTCAGGAGCGACGAGTGCGTCGTCCGAGGGTAACCTGGAGGAGGTCGTATAAGGACGAGGTGAGAGATTATGGGCAGTCGTGGGTCCAGTTAAAGAGGACAGCAGAAAATAGAACAAAGTGGAGATGTGTTGCTGAAGCCCTATGTTCCACTCGGAACCCAAGGGAACAATAATAATAATTCATTTGTGTAAATAGAACAGTGTCTTCTATTTAGACGGCTAGATTTTTAAATGAACCACAAATACGTACCATCTATGGAAAACTCCATTTTATTCGTACACAAGTTTCAGTGGTCAGTGATAACGGTATATTCATTTATGGTACTTTTTATCAACCCAGTGTTATTGCTTTGAAATCATGTAGAATAACATTCCTCAATCACTTTGTATGAAACTTGTTGATAATACCTACATATACTTCTATACGAGCAACTGAATTAGCGGATGCATTCTAGCGGTAATCAAATGTGAAGTCTGTCACTCACGTGGTTATAAAATATTGGGCTGCTAATCTCAGTGTTGATACAAAGTAGGTTCACCTTAGACGGTTAACTATCTTCTTCCCTTAAGAATTGGCAATGTATATTCTCATGTATAACACGTCTTACAGAAAAGAGGTTGAAATCACCCAGTTGGATTTCGGTCTTGTAATTTTGACTAGAAAACTTAGGTCAGTTGAAGTTTTCATTGGGAGAGGTTGCATTTAACGCATATATGGAGTTGAAACCACATATTACACATATCCGGTCGAAAACGAAACCTGATCAGGTCGCTTGCCGCTCGCATCCCGCGCATATGTAGCCCTGATACAGTGGGGTATGAGTTAAATCTTTTAAGAAAAAATCCTAATTGAAAATGGATTTCCACCACGTTTTATAGACAAGAATATACAGTCAAGTCCTATGAAATGTGACTTATCATCCGTACCCAAGAAAATACTGTACATGAACTTGGAATTTAAAGGTGACTTAGCTTCCGATTAAAAGAAGGATCCCACAGTCCCTGAAAAGAACATTCCCTGCTGCATCTTTGAGAATAGCCTTTACCAGTAGACCATTACTGTTCAGTAACCTGAAGGACAAGATCCCGCAGTTGACCAGCTCTATGTGCGTTTATCAATTCACCTGCTCGTTTGGAGATAGATTTATCGGTCGTTCGACTCGAGTTTTGTCTAAGAGGGTGCAAGAATACTATTCTGCATGGTAGTTACGAAGAGGTGGAAGTGGAGCAATAAGTAGCGCGAACATTGAACATATGGTCGATAATCATCACCCTATCTCTACAGCCTCCGCCTTTAAAGTCATCTACAAGGCGAAAAGTAATTTGCCCAAATCACTACGTACCCGACTCATCTGTATTGCTGAAGCCTTGGCTATCGGAACAGAAAAGCCAGATCTCTGTACACAGAAAAGTCCATTCAACTCCTCCAACTTTCATGGTCTTAATCCCTCTATGCTAAAGTATGGTAATCCCTAATCATATTTTGGCTCTACTAAATTTTTTTGTTTTGTTTATTCAAATTTGTATACTTTTCCTTTATTACGTCAATTGTTACTATTACTATCCTCACTCTGAACTGTCCCCGGTATTATTTCACTCGTTCCACTTGTCATTCTAAATCAATTCTGTTTTGCAATGTTAAATTCTATGTTATCAAATTTCACACAATGTTACGTAACGTTTTTATTTTCATTCGATTTGCCTGCTAATCCTATAATTGCACACCCCTTCCAAGTTCTATACATCCTGTGAATTATTCTATATATGACATCAATTGTTTTACCACTTGACAATTAACTGTGATTATAATCACAAACATTCTAATTGCATTTCATACCACTATTATTATTTTATGCATCCACGACTATGATTCAATTCCCTCACCGGATATAATTTCTTAAAAACCATACATATATACGATTGTACAGCTTGATAATAAATTCGTTGAAAAGAGTCTCTTCGCTGCCCTTCACTTATTTTGATTTTCTAAAGAGATAAGACAACAAAATGCAATCTGATTGAGACTAAGAATGATACTATTACGATAAACCAATAAAATCATGTTGTAAATACCACCTAACTGACTGACTGACATGAATCGGTCGAAACTATCAATGCTGGTTATAGCGTCTCAACCGCTTATCAGAAGAATATACGTCATGTAGCACTTTACTCTCCTAATGTGCAACAAATTCAGGTAAGTAGTCTGTAAGTATTACTCATGATCGTCTCTCACAAAAGGAACTTCAAGACCAGTTTTGAAAGTAGTACTGATATTTTTGATTTTATGTCCACTAGTATTACAATTCAGGTAACGATTTCACCTGTGACTAAATCCAAACATACTGGTATACCTGCCTCCGACTTTTTAAGTAGACTACAGTGTCATCAAGTGTTGGTTTGCAGGGATTTGATTGATTTGTACTGAAGTCAGTTCAATCAAATCCCTGGAAACCAATTCCTGAAAATTAATTTAGTACTCACTACTGACTAACTGCATGATGAAGTTGACTGAAGTTCCAGTTAAAAGTCGTGAGTGGCGGGGTTCACCAAGTTAGGTGTGAAGAGAAATACTCGACAATGTCCCTCCATGAGATAGGGGTTTCGGTTGGTTGCACCACAGGATGATACCGAATGCCGTTCTAGTTTTGCAAAAGGCCGGGCTGGAAGTGTATAATTAACCAGTCAGTCGATGGGTGTATCATTGTGTGAACTTGATGATGACATTTGCTAGCGGTTGCGACATATATCAGAAATTGGAAGAGGTTAGATTTCATGAAGCATAAAATTTCGTCCAAGTGGCTAAATGGCCAACCATCTCACCATGTTAAGGTCCGGGGTTCGACCCTAGTGCAGTCATGGGTGAGTACTATTGAAAAGCCCCAGACACGGACGAAACAGATGTCAATTACTCCTTAGTTCTCAATGGTTCTCTAAATGATATCAATCCGTGATTAAATTTCAAAACTTCTTCATACACTGAACAACGCCCAATTTCAATATGGTGAAAAAAGAGTAGTGACAGTTGAAGACATACACAGTTAGTTTAGTGAATGCAAAAAGACTTTTAAGAAAAAAATTTTTATATTCTTTTCTCCGTTCAAATTTACTTCACAGTTTTACATTATAGACAAATGTTAACCACAAAAACCCCGTTAGTTGTTCTACACATCATTTCAACAAACCAATAAAAGATAGAGAAGAACAGACAAGTGGAGGGAAAGATGTTCATAAGTATGTTATATAAAGGATTTAATATATAACACAGACTGTATATATATATATATATATATATATATATATATATATATGGAAGTTGTGAAATAGTTAGACAACGAAACAGAAATGCAGCGGGGAAAACGTAATAAGTATTCAATGACAATAATAATAATAATAATAATATTGGAAATAGTGAAATTAAGAGAAAAAAAAGCCAAACCAAATAAAACAGAAAATCAAAAGAGATAAAGAAAAACAATTTTTTTTTATTTGTTAAAGACTAACAACAAACCAGAAATGAAGTCAGCTAATTAATTACTTGACTTGAAGCCAGTTAGTTTGAGCCGGGGTATGTTTGAGTGTGTGTATCTTGGCTTATAATAAGAAGACAAAGAGAGAAACGAGAAGAAACACAACAGGGATATTATAAAACAGCTGATTAGTATGTGTGTGGGGGGTGGGGAAGGTGGGCGAGTGGAGGGTTATGTTTATATGAGTTTCACTCACCACAATGAAGTAAACGTCAAAATAAACACCACCACCACCACTAATACATTGTTGAAAAATAAACAACATCAAAATAAGGTACAACAATAGAAGAGTACTTACTCTAGAGAAGGAGACAAACGCACACACATAGATATTTATATGTGTTAAATGATCTGAAACTGTCTCTCAATCAAATAGTAAGAACAGGAATAATTCTCAATAATAAAGATTTATGATAATTAAACTGTTTGATATACAGGAGAAACAGAGGCATAGAATACTGTATACAGCGTCGTCGACATTGTCATCCTCGGCAGTAAAGGCCAACAATAAAATAACTAAGTACTTACTTACTTCTCCAATGGAGAATAGGTGTGAACCAATAGGAATGAAAAGCAAGTTATATATATATATATATATATATATATATATATAATTCGTAGATTATGAACAATAAGATTCAGTTGCTGTTAATGGATCGACTGATCGTGGAGGCCAATTTATGACACGACGAAGCGGTCGAAATGAATTGACTGGAAGATAATCTGATTTCTTGTTATCATAATAGGTAGAATTGGAGGTGTTCACTGTCAAAATACAAATAAATTTTTACAAGACAATGAGAAAGAAGAATGCATGAGAGGATTATATATATATATTTTTTATTCCTTCACGTTCCCAGTGGAACATAGGGCTTCAAGCTAGAGGTTGAAGTTCTTACAGTGTTTATATTTTTACAGGATGGGGTTGCTAGCCTCATGCCCAACCTTTCCTCTTTACCAGCTTTATTTCTGGCTTAGCGAGGTAAAGGAGTGCGTCGGCCAGGAATCGAACCCCGGACAATGTGCATGGTCAGCGAGCGTCCTAACCGCTGTGCCACCGACGCACATATATATATATATATATATATATATATCATTGGTGGTGTCAACTAGTACACCTTGACAACGAGAATCCAATCCAAATAATGGTTTAAATCAATAACTTTATGGATTGAAAATATGTCTTGGTTTGATCATCTTTATTTACTGTTAACAAAATTTTATCTCACCTGATATGCACATTAAGGTTCCGCAGGAATTAAACACGCTTGAGATGGTTCAAGTAGCGATTCCCTACCGAACACGATGTTCAACCTCAATAGCATGATGGTTGAAATAACACACGATAAATATTACGGATATACCTATGAAAACCGGTTGTTGTGTTTTCTCCCCAGGTTTTGCGTCCCAAGTGGGACACAGGTCTTCCAGCTTTGAAGTTTTAGTAGCGATGATGTTTTTATGCAGTTGAGTTGCTCACCGCTCACCTTACACTGTCGACTGATAAACTAGGCGAGGCTTATGCGTGTGTCCGGTGGGAATTGAACCGGAAACACGTGCGTGACTGTTGAGCATTCTATTACTGAACAATCAACGAGCCACTATTGTCTAACGTATTCAAAATTCATTTTTCTACAACAGTAGACTGTACTCACTCCTTGACAAGTGATCAGTACGGCAGATGCCACAAGTGGGGAAATATGGAGGGAGATTTCATTACCAATGACAGATTTAACATATAGAAAACAGAAAGATTGAGCGAAGAAATATTTACTTTTCAATTAGATCCTCATCTCTGGCTCTACTCTAATATATATAGCATTTTTATTACAATACACAACAGTTTACCAAACAAGTGGCGATATGTTTGTTAACAATAATTAAACGTAATATAATTCTTGATTGAAATTTGGAAAATCTTCATTTAACAAGACTTTACACCAACAAATGGTTTTATTTTTGAAATTCCTAATTATAACTGTAACAGAGTTCAGAACAACATTAACAAAAGACTTAGACGACTGCCATATTATGATTATTACTCAGTTAAGTGCCTAGTGGAACATAGGGTCTTAGCAGCACATATCCATTTCACTCTGTTATCTGCAGTCTTTTGTAGCTGGCTTCACGACTGCCCATAAGCTTTCATATTCTCCTTAAACGATCTGCTCCATGTCACCGTCAGCCACTCAACTCATCGTCTCCTATTCGGGGGATCTCATTCGATCCATCTCCATTTCCTTCGGTATATTTATTGTGCGATAGGTTCTCTCTCCGCTAGAAATCCTTGTTGTTTATCCTTTCTGGACATCTCATCTTCCGTATAGAGCCCCTAAAAGGCAGATGTTGATAAAAGTCTACAGCTGGCTGTTGGAAACGCTTTCCGTGACGCATGTGTTAGGGCTCTCTTAACCACATGAAGGCACTGACTTGAAATCAGTGCTACTTATACTGAGTACTGTAGATTTCTGCACTGATTTCAGGTGAATGAATGTTTATCTTTCTTTTTCGAGCCTGGTTAACTGTGATATTCTCATCTTTGTTGCTCATGGTAAGTGGAAGCATTGAATTCCCTTATATAATAGATAGGCCTTACTGAGAAGTTTACTTTCGATTGTATTGTATATAGTCAATTTAGATATGATGGAGAAGATTTGTAGCTCAGGTGGATGATTTTGATGTGGTTGTGTTCCCTGACCTGGGTAGTTAATTTGCGAAGCTTTCATCGACCTACTAGGCGACATCTTCAGCGCATACTTCAATTTGAAGTGAGCTTTCAGATTTCTCCCCGAGTTTATTAATCATCATTATGATTAACTGAAGTATGCGCTGAAGATGTCGCCTAGTAGGGCGATGAAAGCTTCGCAAATTAACTACCCAGCTCAGAGAACTCAACCACATGAAAATATAGTCAATTACTACTTAATGTTTCAAACTACTAGTTGATGTACAAGTATGATAAATAACTTTCGATATAATATGGATATCAGGCACCAGTCGTTAACTATTGTAATTTATTACTGTAATGGCATATTTTTGTTGTGCTTTTTTTTCTTCTGAAAATAAAGAAGCAATAGACTTTAATCAAGTGCAGGTTCAATTGTGAAATACTTAAGATAACTATTGAAATTTGAGTGGAATAAGATTTTAATAAAAAAGAAGTTACACACACAATATGTTGGCAGATAGAAAAATATTTACAATAGATAGAGAAGAAGAAGAAGAAATGAAGCGTCTAGACAACCCCTAATGATATTGATTACTTTTGGCTAGCTGACGTCGTTATGCTACTATTTATACTATTAAGTAGCACGTCATTCGTTGAAATTGTCAACACATACCAAGCAAGCATAAGCAGCAAAAGTAAGTGCACTATAAACTTATTCATTTTGGGGAGCCTAATTTGAAATAAGCTAATGACAAGAATTTGTAAGTAGTATGTATATAATGATGTAAAAGTCTTGCATAGGCGTTCAACGGATTAAGTTGTAAAGACACACAAGAAGTGAAAAAATAATCATGGAGAAAAACACAACAGAGAATGCAGGAAAACAAGAATAACAGAAGCAGAACATGAGTGATTTTTGTAAAGTGTTCCTCTACGTCCTATACTGTCAATGTGCAAATCCCCAACACATAAACTTGCTAAAAAGGCTTAGTAGAATTATTGCATCCAGTCAAAACACAATTCTGTAAGTAAGTGTTAAGAGATACATTTGAATTGGTTGATTTTCTTGACAATAGTAATATTAATATTATGAATAAGAATATGTACTCCTTTGATGTAAACTCGTTATTCACTAATCTGCCTTTGCTCAAAACAGTTGACATTTTGTGTGATTATATTTCCACAAACAATTTTTTCATCCCCTTCCCTATATCTTATTTAAGGGATTTATTACTTCTATGTACTAACAATGTTAGGTTTACATTTGAAGGCGATTGTTTCCGCCAAGTTGATGGTGTTGCTATGGGAAGTCCGTTAGGGCCTCTTTTAGCAGATATTTATATGTCGTACATTGAGAATTTATCGGAGGATTTAATCGAAAATGTGCCACTTTATAGAAGGTATGTAGATGATATTGTAATCATCAGTGATAAGTCTTGTTCTGCCACCTCAATTTTAAATCGAATGAATGAAGTTCAGAATAGCATATCACTTACATCTGTCTGTAGAAGAGGAAGATAATTGTTTATCTTTCCTAGACATATTGCTTAGTCGACGGCTTGATGGGTCAATAAAAAGATCTATTTATAGAAAACCTACCTGGACAGGACAGTATCTTAATTACCACAGTTTCTGTCCTGTTTGGTACAAAAGAGCCTTAGTAAGGTGCCTCTTCAGTAGAATCCAACGAATATGCACTGAAGACACACTTGATGAAGAAGAAAGAAAGTTGACACAAACTCTGGTTGGTAAAAATTATCCAAACAAGTTCATCAGGAGATATAAAGTAGTCAGAACACCAAGACCCACTCTCCAACTCGCCCCTAAGAAAGACGTGTACATCAAGCTACCCTATATGGAGCATCAAAGCAGCTTGATAACTAGAGAAAGACTGAACGCTGCTGTCAAAAAGACTTTTTATGCAGCCAATATCATAATAATAGAGAATGCAAAGCCAATATATCTATCTAAGCCCTTCGAACATGCGAAAAATGACGTCACATCCCACTGTATTTACCAATTTGAATGTACGTGTGGACACATATACATAGGGAGGACTCATCGATCTCTGCAAGTAAGGGCTTCAGAGCATATTCCTAAATGGCTCCAGAAACAAATGGAATCTTCCGAATCTTTAAACGGTGAGAACAGGAGACCTAGCTGTTCTATTGCGAAACATATTATAGAGACAGGACATAAAATTGACATTAACAGATCTTTTAAACCTGTCTATAAAACGTGTTTGGGGCGTATCCTTAAGTTTGTGGAAGCCCTAGCAATTAGAAAGTTTAAGCCACCTTTATGCGTTCAAAAACAATTCGTCATCACATTAAACCTTCCTCTGTAAATTTTGTTTTGATACCATTGCAGATTTACTAATACCTCTACTATTTGGTTTAGTGGTCTTCATTGTTATTTTGACCTTGAATATGTCCTTTTAACTTGACCTAACTTGTCTATTTTCTCACCTCTTACCTCTTTATTAGTTTCATATATATTCCTATGACAAGTCCGTGTGTGATCAGATTGTTCCAAAAGTGTTGCGCAAATACATTACACGATTCAGACAAATTACGTCTTCTTATTGCTTTATCTAAAGTGTTTACCTTGTATTAACAATAAGTGAAGTGAATTATCAACATACCGTATTGCACAAAACGGCAGTAATCATGTCGCTAACAGTCTGCCACATTTGATTCTTCATATAATAAGAGAACGCTAACCAAACAGACTAACCCCCCCGCCCTGCCCCTCACCACTCTACGTGATTTGAATCAAAAGATAAAGACTTCATGCATTGGCGCCATATTTTCGTCTGACCATGCCTAATCTTCTTCCTAATCTAGCCTTATTTCAAATTAACATTTTTCATAACCACAGCTAGAACAGATGTATGATGTCACCAATAAATTCACACTAAATAAATCCTTCGTCCTTCTTTATGCTGCTGTAGGTATCTTTAATCTGTGTGGACCCACTCAGTTCTGTTTTCTTCTTTCTTTTTATACTTGCGTATCTCGTTCAAATGAATTCTGATTACAATTTCATTATTAAATGAGATCACACTGTGTGCTTTTAATGTTTGTTTTTCTCTCTACATACTAACTAACTACATTGATGTCACTAAACAAAACTCGCTTTATTCACACAAAAGGATTGTGTTTATTTGCATGCATAGATGCATGCATGGTGCGTATTTGTTGCTTTCTTTGTTTCAGTAATCAAATGCGATAAACTGTGTGGAGTGTTTCTCAGTATGAACAAGTCATTCACACATTCATTCATTCATTCATAACTCATTCCCTTTATGCATATGCATATTTCGTAACCAAGTTAATCCAGTGTAACAATTCAGATGAGAAATTTCGATTTGTCACACTTTTATGCTCCCCCTCTCCTCGAAGCACCACCTCCTCCTACTGTGTGTGCATATGTAAAAATATGGAGGAAGGTAGTGCGCGAAAGTCGATTGAATCAACACTGATCACAGTGATTGAAGTTTTCTTTTTAAAAACAAACTACAAGTGAAAATTCATCGAAATCAAATTTTTCTTGTAAAATTGATAAATTCTTTTGTTTTTTTGAGAAGAAGCAGGGGATATTTACGAAATGTTTAAACACAGCGGGACCGAAAATGTGTCTGTTTTCATTTTTATGATACACTGTTGTTTTTAGTTTAGATTGATTTTGTCTACACCCCTTAACCTCGGTAGTGTATAATTAAAATATTGTGACTGAGAGTTGAAGGCGGCAGAGACAAATAAGAAAAAAATTATTATTATTGTCTCCAAATTATCATATTTCGTGTCAGCATATCATTTCAAGTGAAATGTTAACAAACAAGTTAGAAGCAAGTGAAAGTATAGACATGCAAAGCCAGAAAGATTCGAAAAATAAAGGGAAAAGGTAACCATATGAATAAAGAGATAATATGGTCAGGTCATATAAAGGAATAGAAATGAAATATTATTCAACAACCACTTGGATTTACATGCCGTTGACAATGAACCACACCTAGCTGTCCAAACCGCAGCAGGTGTAACGCCATTTGAACAATGTGAGTCGTAGAGTAATCCACCACTTGCATACAAATGACAAATGTCAACTGAACAACACAGCGTTAAAAAGTCAATACAATGGTGGTTAAAGGTCAAAGAAGGCACATTTATAGTAGACTAATTAAGAGGAAAAGAATAAATTTCACAAACGGATGTCTTTAAACTCTGAAAAAAAATTATTAAACGAATATTTTGACTTTTCATCCTCGTATAGAACAGCACTAAAGACAATGTTTAGACTCATGTGAAAAGTTCTACTCAGCTCAAGAGGTGAAAAACAGTTATGCTTAACATTAAGTTATAAATACTATTTAAGACCATTGACTAAAGTAAATTTCCTGTACAGTATACTCTTCCTATCCAAAGAGGTGACAAAAGTTTGTCATTACAGTTAACTGTACAGAAATTTACATGACAATGAGCTGTACTGTCTTTTGCTGTTAAATCTTCGATATCATCTATCAGTAAGAAATTAGTTGACATCTTCCAGGATGTCGTACATACATGTGTCACGACAGAAGGCAAGAGTCAGGCAACAGATCGTTTATTGAGAAAATCAAGAGATATTTAATATGTTTAGATTTTTATGGTACAGGATTTCATCATGAGCGACTGCCCTATTCAGGTAGTAGTTACCTGGGGTTTCAGTGGGAAGTCGTGACCAGTAGGGTGCAGCAGGTTGGGTGTGAGGACATTTGGCTAGGGTTGCGCTAATCGTGAGTAGAATTCATGGACCATTGGATCGGGTCCCAGTGGCTTAATGGTATACGAGCTCGCCTTGTAACCAGAAGGTCCTGGATTCGAATCCCGGTGAGTGCGTACTGATGAAGAGTCTCAAACTAGGACGAAACAGCTGTCCAGTACTCCCAGGTTTTCCAATGGTTCTCTAACCAATGTCAGCTCATGATGAAATCCTGTAATCAAGAGATATTTGTATATTTTTATGTACATTATTATAGGTTATTGTTAGCTGAGAAACAGAGTCTTCTGATTGGTTGTTCTCTCACTGAAAGTTAATCTGTCATATCTTTGTGGCCATTTATTTGAAGGTCATACCATATTTATATGCGAATCGTATCTGCCCACGCAAAGTCTGTCCTGACTGGTTGTTGAGTTAGTCTTTGTTCGTGTTCTTTTCTCATGACCAAGATTTGGGACGTCAACATTGACGTAAATAGCTGTCTACAAATTTGGCTAGCAGATAGCTCTCACCACACATACACCTCAGAAAGTGAAATCTGTACACTGAATATCGGTGTTGTCAAGACTGAAATGAATGCATGAATTATTTATAACATGTAGTGAGTGATTCACAGACGATGAAGTCAACAATTCAGTTAAGTGTGTCACAGAAGAGAAATTTAATAGATATTGGATGTTTGGAGTCAATCAGGCAACAAACAAACAAACATTACGTGGGATTTAGCTGGTTATGTACAGAGAAGATCCGATTCAATTAAAGTTTCCAGAAATTTAGAACTTCGGCACTGTGGTAGAATGCAATTCCATATTAGATAAGTTTATTTTAATAATCACACAGTGATGCAGTATTAACAACTGGGTGACGCATAAATTACCGCTCATAATCATATCAATTTTTGTCATACGGTTTCACAGTTTCTCTTATACATATTTTTTTTCCTATTCTGTCTCTCCAATTTCCCTTTGTTGTTTGTTGCCACTTTCCATGCTTCCAGTATAAGCGTTGCGTCATTCCAATTGCACATCTGCGGTGTTGAATCGATAAACAAAGCTTCAGTGATTAACCCATCTCTCCACCTAACTATATTACTTTTTAATACTCTAGATACACCAGGAAGATACCCGACTGTGCAATCAGAATAACACAACACCTATACTGAAGACATGTGTGTCGGTGGCACAGCGGTTAGGACGCTCGCCGACCATGCACATGGTCCGAGGTTCGATCCCCGGCCGACGCACTCCTTTACCTCGCTAAGCCAGAAATAAAGCTGGTAAAGAGGAAAGGTTGGGCATGAGGCTAGCAACCCCATCCTGCAAAAATAAACACTGCTACAGAAACTTCAAGCCTCTAGCTTGAAGCCCTATGTTCCACTGGGAACGTGAAGGAATTAATAAGAATAATAATATACTGAAGACATGGAAAGTGGCAAAAAACAACAAAGGGAAGTTGGAGAAACAGAATAGAGAGAAAATATGCATAAGACAAACTGTGAAACCGTATAACAAAAATTGATATGATTATGAGCGGTAATTTATGCGTCACCCAGTTGTTAATACTGCATCACTGTGTGATTATTAAAATAAACTTATCTAATATGAAATTTAGACACTTTGTTTGCTGAATATTTATATATACAGTCGAAAATAAATAATCACAACACTTACCTGAATTTAGCATTAGTAAAACAGGATTCGATGGACTTCCAGAGAAAATACTGCCACCATCACTATTGATGCTAGCAGGCGTTACCGTAGGTATTGTAGTTTTTTTCGTCACCGTGGGAGGTTTATTCATAAAAACAGGAGGACGTCTTGCAGTGCAGCAGTTGGACTCTAGCTTTTCACAAGCACTTTTACAAATTATTCTATCTTGTGATTTTGAACGAGTTTGTAACCAAGGTTGATTTTCGCAAGCATATACCTTGAACTGAGATTCTGTTGTATTACAACAGTTGAGTGGATTGAAAATCCCTCCAGTGGATGAAACAGACTCTTTTTTAGATGTGTGTAGAGGAAGTGATAGGGAAGAGTTATGAAGAGTATTCATTTTGGAACATGACAATGGAGATGAAGACAATGACGATGAGGATGAAGATGCTGTAGAAGATGATGATGAAGGACTGAGAACTGGACACGGAGTTACCGATGAAGTAATAACTACGGTAGATGTTGCTATCGCCTCAGTAGTGATAGTACTGGTCGGATTACCAGAATCTGAAAAAACGGTATCATTGCCACAATCGTTACAATTCATAATCCAGCTATCATCAGGTCGAAGACGTGATGATGTACGATATGATGACCGTGTTGAGTGAGAACGTTCTGGAAGAATGACAACATTATTTGTCGTAGTACGACTATCTGTTGTTACAAGTAGGTCAGCATAGGAAGATTTTCTCCGTTCAATATGCCGCATTTTTACATTTGAAATACTAGGATTTCGTTTACATAAATCTTCGCCAACTGGAACTTCAGTATTAACACTACTATCTAGATTTGCATTCGGCGGTGCAGTGGACACATCTGAATTTGTTACTACTACACGAGGAAGGTGAACTGGTGAGGTGGAAGATGTATTCATACCATTATTGTTATTGCTACTACCAGAAGTATTAGCAGTACATGTGTTGGAAGAATTTACAGATTTACTTCTTTCCCATTTTATTGGCGGGATATATGATGACTCACACGGTGCTGAGATTTTTTCTTTCGCGTTTTGATTCAAAGATGCAGAGAATAAGTTCGAATCTAAACAAATTGGTGAAAAAAAACAATCTTTTAACGAACAATAAATGTTGCATAACATTTTGAGGATCAGTAAGTCGAAGAATAGTTTAACCCCTAAGATAGACAGTAATTCTTTCTAATAATATAAAAGCAATTAGAACACTCGAAGACTTGCAGGCGAAAACCAAAAAAACTGGTTGAAGAAGCTGGCAGCGAAGACAGGATTCCAGGTGAACATAGAGAAAATGGAGGTGATAAAGATAACCAACGAACCACAACAACAGCCAGCACCAATCACCATCAACGGGGGACATTTAACAGAGGTTGCCTCCTTCACTTATCTGTCTGTCTGTCTGTTTTCGACACAGAACTTTGCACCGATGTGCAGCAGTTCAAGTCGCCACACTCCATGTAGCACACAAAGCAAGAGAAGAAAGTAGAAGAAATGCATAATAGAGACAGTAGACATGGGAAGCATCGTCACAACTACAGGCGGAACGGACGAAGATGTCAAAGTCAGAATCGGAAAAGCAAGATACGCCTTCACCAACCTGAAACCAGTTTGGAAATCTTCCGCACTCAGCATGAGGAACAAGATTCGCATTTTCAACACCAATGTGAAGTCGGTTTCCCTATACGGGTCAGAAACTTGACAAGCGTGTCACGAAAAGGATTTCAAACAGGTTGCAGACTTTCATCAACAGCTGCCTTCGCTACATACTCAAGATCAAATGGCCAGAAAGAATAAGCAACAACAAATTATGGGAACATACCAACCAAGAGCCAATCGCTCAACAAATATGCAAGAGAAAGTGGAGATGGATCGGGAATTCATTGAGGAGGCCGCCGAATGACATCGCACGCCAGGCCCTCGAGTGAAATCCAAATGGGAAGCGACGAGTGGGTCGTCCTAGGGTGACATGGAGGAGATCGTGTGAGGAAGAGATGAGAGAGTTTGGTCAATCGTGGACCCAGTTGAAGAGGACGGCAGAAAACAGAACCAAGTGGAGATTTGTTGTTGAAGCCCTATGTTCCACTCGGAACGCAAGGGAATAGTAATATATAATAATAATAAGAAGAAGAACACTGTTCATTCATAGCTTGATTCTAACTATTCTCTTCTAAAGTCCACCTAGAATTTACGCTAAACCCTAACGGTTACCAGAGTATATATCAGAATATCTGCAAGATTTTATGATTGCTCTTGTATCATCATTAGAAAACACAAATCAAAAGCAATAATAGCAGTCACGTATAACCGGGTGCCAGTTAATTGTTTTTATTTATAGTAGGTTGAACCTAGAATTCAGAAAGCAATATGACAACCTTAACTCAGTCATTGGAATGCAGAAGCTGTTAGCACAGAATACAAAACACAAGTAGAACAAGATACTCACTCAGGAGATGCCAGAAATTCCTTGACTCATGAATATATCCATGCTATCGTGTTTATCAGCTAGGAAGACAGCAGAAAGAGATGATTGGTGTGCTTTAAAATGAATCACATTTTATTCATAAGTTGTCATTATCACAATTGTAATATCGTCTTATATGATTCACGTGTCAGTGTTATGTGCCATTTTCCAGTTTTGCTTGCTTTCTTGATTACCTTTTATGGCATCAAAGAGGTCATTGTTGGATTGTTAATCAACTGTCGTTAGTCTGTGTGGATTTGAATCCTATCCACATAGTTAAAATGTTACAACAGTGATAATACTGATAGGACACTGGATTAGTGGATTCTTTCTACTGTTACCTAAACACAAGAACAATATATAGACTGATCACTAAAACTACTATTCCCACATAGAGAAGACACAGACGAATGACTGAAAAAACAAGATTTATTTCTATATGAAAGAAAAGCCAAAATTACCGAGTTCTGCTGTAACGGTAGAAGACAAGAGACTTGATAACAGAATGTTTATTTGGAATTTGGTATCCCTATACAGCGAAATTATGTACACCTGATATGAAAATCGTCATTTGCACAGATCTTCCGTGTTGTGCTACTTCTGCCCTTCGCATTGTGTTTCTTTGTCTTCTTTTCCTGCCTCCCATGTTTTGCCACAATACTAGCTGGTTCGTTTGCTCTCTTTGACTTCAAATCTATCTCTCCGCAATTTGATAATTTGTGCCTACGAACGTCTCTTGATATACTACTGATAAATCTTATCAGTAGCATATGCCACACAGCTATTTATATAGTTCTTTAACTAGTCTAAGATATGAAAACTGATGTGAGTTAGTGGTCAAACTTGAAACTAATCAAACTGACACTTGACAATTTATCTAGTAACCACTGGTGACTGACTATAAGATGAAATCGACTGAAGTCCCTAGTGAGAAGTCATAACCAACGGGGTCCACTAAGTTTGATGTGACGACAGATATTCGTCGATGACACAGTGGCTGACAAATTGGGAAGAAGTTAGAATTCACTAGCCATAAGGTTTGGGTTTCAGTGGTTGGATGGTTACAACGAGCTCGCCTTGTAAAGTGAAGGGCCCTAGGTTCAGTCTCTAGTGGGTGCTCCTTGGTTCTCAGTGGTTCTCTAACCGGTACCAGTTCGTGATCAAACTGAAATCAATCGAATCCTTGTAAACCAACACTTGGAAATTATAGTTTAACTAGTTAGCATGTACCAATAAAAATCTACTCAACTGATCTTTAATCTACGTTAGAGTCAAATGTCTGGCTTACAAGTTGCGTAGAAAAAAAAAAAACCCATATTGTATATCCCCTCCTGACCTAATATTATTTGAATATTTTAGGTTTCCAAAGGTCTTAAACCTTTTCATAACGCCTGACAGTAGTGTTTTCAATTCGTTTTCTTGTTAACTTCCATCTAAATGTGTAGATGTGGCGTGTGGCAAATTCAACGAATAAGACGGTAATACCAACATTTTATGAAATTTGGAAATATCTCTCTACATTTTAAGGAGGCAAAATGATTTCCAAACATTCCTTTTTTTGGTCAACAGTGAAAAATAATGCTGTGCGATTCGCTGCCAATCAATTGTAAGGTAATGTTGCAGGTCTGGACTACACTGACTACTAGTTTAAAGAATACAGAGAGAAATGGTTAAGGATGTTGATCACTTCAGTTATTTTGGGAAGTTGCGTCAGCCTCGGAAAAGTTAATTGCCGATAAGATCTCAGTACAGATACAAAAGGCTCGTGTGACTTATGCCATCTCTGGCGTAGACGTGATATCCACCTATAAATCAAAGGACTTGAGTGCTGTGCGTCGGTGGCACAGAGGTTAGGACTCTCGCCGACCATGCACATGGTCCGGGGTTCGATCGCCTGCCGACGCACACCTGATATCAGTGGTCAGCCTGCGAAATTTGGGCTACCGATATCATATGCTGAAAATTCCATACTTCTACCAAAAATACTGTGTGGAATCAAGCTATAATAAAAAAAATCGCCGCTTCCTTCTTTATGGCTGGGAAACATGGCTGATGAAGGTGGGGGATATGTGAAGGGACAAGGTATCTTTGAGTGCAAGTGTTTGTTTACTATCTCTCATTTGTTTAAGCTCAATTAGCCAGAACAGATCTTTCATGTACTTGATTAAGACTCACAATTATCGCGTGAGGGCTCATGATATTACCCAGTTTCCCAGGCTGAAGTAGGTGCGACGGGATTCGAACCCATGAGACTGAAAACCGAGTGCTTAAGCCAAATCTCCACTCTATCTCCCAGACAACAAGGTGATTAATATCGAGGTTAGGCGTAGGGTGTTATATAAGGAGGGCAAGTCAGTTGACTAGGTTGTGAAGCCGCATCGATTGAGATGGATAGGAGGAGTATTGCGCATGTCGAGCCACAGTGTTCCTCGACGAGCTATGTTAGCTGACATAAGATCAAGACCTGGCGTCAACTCATGAGATCTTTGACTGTTGATTGGGGTCATTCACTCGGGGGAAGGTGCAGACCGTCTGGGTGAGGTCGTCAAGTTGCTAAGATCCAATGGTTTGAGATTGTTGGTGACGTGGCTTTAAAGTCATTCGATGCATTCACTCTTTATGAACTCCTAGATCCATCAAATTCCCATTATTTCCAAAATACTTATTCTTTCTGTCGCGTATTATACTTACCTTACTGTGTGTAAACAATGTATTGAAATTTATTTTACAAGTAACTGTGTTGCATTTATACAACTTTTCTATTGATATTGTCATGATCAGTATTATGTTTTCTCTTCTCAGTTTTAATTTACAGGGTCAATCAATAAGAAACAGTTAGATCAATTTGTAAATTGGTTAGGCTACAACCAGGACAACAAAATGTAAAGTGACTTATTCAAATGTTATAAGTTATACGTTATACAGTCTATCTGTGTTATTGTTCTTTCTTTTCTTTTTTTTTCTATTTAAAAACGAATGTAACAATCATATAAGCGAGAGTAAATTCGAAAATTCAAATATAAAACGTGCACATACAAACATACATGCACGTAAACATATATAGGTATACTGAATAGTTCAGTCTGTAACAACATGTTCAATGAATCTCACTAATGTAATTAGAATGTTAACGTTAAGTCAAATATCGATGAAAACTTGTGGTTGGATTGAAAATACAACTTCTTATTTCTAATGGTACGACAATAATAAATCAGGCGGGTTAGGGGGTGACAGGTGGCATGATCAGTTCACTATAGATACGGTTAAAAGTAATGAAAGATGATTTCACTGTTGTAAGCAGTATCATATCATACTGTTATGTATGAGCAGTGATAACAGAGGAAAAGCGATTTTTTTAGGTTGCCTTTATAGAACATATACTTTTCTTCTATCAATCCATGTGTTCCCAATGGGGAACATACGGGTTCCAAGCTAGAGCCTTGAAGTTTCGGTAGCAGTGGTGTTTATTTTTACTGGATGCAGTTGCTAGCCTCATGCCCCACCTTCCCTCTTACCAGTCTTATTTACTGGCTTAGCGAGGTACAGAAGTGCGTTGGCCGGGGATCGAACCCCGAACCACATGCATAGTTAGCGAGTATTCTACCG